CTTAGGGACCAGGGAAGTGAGTGGGTGATCACTGAGCACACGATACAAAGAGACAGTGTGCAAGAGTGGGCACGGACACTGACGTCTGGGCATTGAAGCAGAGATCAGTTTGTCCCTTATCCGCTCTGCAGAGGCGTGAGGCCAGGAAGTGGAGGGCGAAAGCAATGAGTCCATCCCGATAAGACACACTTTCACATATGCTGCAAGGACGATGTGGCGCGGAACTAACTGGAGTGTAGATACCGTAGGAAAATACTTAATGGTCACTTCGGTTTGCAGCAGAACAGGAACAACAGTCGTTCTAAGCACTGATTGTCATTCAAATTGTAGAGGGTAGAACTACAAACAACTACACTACGATTGCAGAAAGCTGCAGGTGGCACCGGCAGGAGAAACGTGTTGGTGGATCAGACTCTTCTGTGTGGTCAGTGTTCAAATCTGGCTTCCAGCTGTGCCACAATTTCCCAGACTTCAATGGGACTGCAAAAGCTAAAGATGCAACCAATTTGTCCTCATTTTTGCTATTGGTGTTTGAGTCAGTGCACTTTTTGTTTGTTTTTTTGTGTGTTTGTTTTTAAACTCAAACCACAATAAAAGCATTTGGCCAACTTCGTGGCAATGAAAGATTTGCAATTACAAAAATGAGTTTAGGGAATTCTCTGCTCTAGCCAAACAATTCTATTGTTAACGTTGTATACAATAATGCAGCGCTATGACAAACCCATTATGTACACACACATACACACACACATACAAAAAATTATCAGTTATCCAGGGGCTTCCTGTGATTTTCTAAAACCTGTCACTTTCACTTTAGGTCGTATTTCAGCGCCAGCCTCGAAGCACCGGGATTTGGACTGTAATTTTTGACAGCTGACAGAAGATGATTGAAGCCACAAGCGAACGAATGGGACACAGATGTGTCCATGTTTTCTGTTTGTCAAATAAAAGTTATCGAGTAGTTCACTGGGGACTCCAGCTGTGCAGTTTAACACCAACCACAAATTTCACTGGAGGAGCCTAAGTTCTCTTATTCTTGAGTATAAATTTATCCATTATGTACTTAAACATGACAGATTAAAATTGTCAGCAAATCATGTGCATGATCATTTTCTAAGAGATGGGTACTTGGAATGAAAATCTGAATTCCAAATTAGAAAGAAGATCCTGTAAATGACCAAAAGTGAAAGCTTCATAGATAAAAAAAAAGATAACAATAAGTTAACCATAGTAATTCTTCCATAGTTAATCAGCCATTCATTAGCAATTTTTACACAGCTTTTTGTGTGCTTGCCTTAAGTTGTCCTTGGCTTTATGTTCAAAGATTTTTAGTATTTTTTTTTTTTTATTATTATGTATCTTTTGTCATTGAGAAGCTTACAGCTATGTCCGAAGAAGAAGCAGCAGGCCTAAAAAACTATCTAGAGCAGATTAGAAGTATTGGAAATTCATGTCCTTAAGAATCATTTTAAAAAATATCCAGTGGAGATCTGACACAGGGCCTGAAAGATGCATTTGCCAATTGCCAAAACGCCAATATATAAAGAGGAGATCATGAGAGAGGTACAACAGTGAGTGCCCACAGCCATCTGCAAAACATGTTGGAGGCTCTGTCATGGTTTGGGGCAACATTTCAGCCAGTGCAGTGGTGTTGAGGAACACTGAAAAATACTGTGAGATTTTGATTCACTGCGCAATAACATCTGTAAACCACCTGATCAGCAACAGCTTCATTTTTCCAGCATGAGAATGATCCCAAACACACTGCCACAGTGGAGGACCATCGGTAATTGATTGGCCTCCCCAGAGCCTGGACCTCAAAATTATTGAATCAGTGTGACATCATGTCGGCAGAGAACAGAACAAAAAGCAGCCAACATCCAAAGAAAAGCTTTGCATTTCCTTCAAGAAGCCTCTCTACTTCAAGATTAGGTTGCAAACTTTCCTTTTTGATAAAGCATGTGGTTAGGGCTGGATCAAGTGACCCTGAATTCTCCCTTAGTCATGTTGCAGCTTGCTGGGGGCTTCCCATGATACACTGAGCGCTTCTTCTTCACACACCTCTTTTCGTTCACTACGTATTTATGCACCATTTTGCATTTAACCATTAGTTATTATTAATCTCCAGCTCTCTTCCACAGTGTATATTCTATCCTGTCTCTTGAAATGGAATTGAATTAAAAACTACTACACTACCACTACTAGTACATGTAACACACACTCCTATTTGTAAACTTTCACTGCATGTACAAGCTTAGCGTGAGAAAATGTCTTTGCATGGAGAATCATTAACTTTTAAATGAAGTTGTGAAAAAATGTATTTTCTTATGATATAAAATAGAGGCTATGAAGAGATCAATCTAATAAAAATGGAAACAACTTACTGTAGCACAGAAATGCAGCTGACTGAGGCAGGTAAAAAATACACTAAAATAGTAAAAAACCACACTCTTAGATGACAGTATGGCAGTAAATTAACAAGTGACCTATCCAAAATCTTAGGTTTGTGGATTTAACACATTTGCAGAAGACTTAAGTTAGAGTTCAGTGCTGGATTTTTGACAGATGTGTACTTAAACAGACATTAAGGAGGAGATTATGTCTAACTTATGTGTGTAAAACACCTGCTTAGCTGTAGTTTAACATGAAACAGCCGACTGTATTCATCATTACATCGTCTGAGGTCATAATCATAAAATATTAACGTCATGTCAAGTCTACCACCTGTTGAGTCTCCACCTTCTTGCACCCTCAAATTAGCCGCGAGAAATATGTTAAACTTTCTAACCTCTGACATATAAATAATGGGGGCAGTACGAAGGCAGATTAGGAAAAAATACCATGAATAGAAGGCGTAAGAATAATGGGAATTTGCACGTTATATAAAATTTGGTCATGATGGGTTTTCTTCTACCACACACATTCTGCACATTGTGAAGATAACTGCAGTCATGGAGAATTGATAATAATTTTTTTAAAGTATACAGAGGACTGCGCAATTTTAGGCAACTGCCAATCATTTTCTGTGGTCCTGCAAGAATCCTGCATGAATTAATTCCAGTAGACATTTTCACACCTGCAATCCAGCACTGAATTTTTCTCTACAGACGCAGGTACATGTAGGAACGCAAATGTCTGATGTAGATCACACACAGCAGCTCCCTCACCTCCATCTCTAAACAACGTCCCGACCTGATTTACCCAAAACTGTTGCGAAACTGTTTGAAAACAGCTGGTGACTTAATGAAGTGTAATGAGGCATTTTTAATGGAGAGCATAAGGTGTTACAATAATCAAGGCATCTTAAAGTATGTGTAAATTACTGTTAACATCAGTAATGTACTGTAGGATGTGTATGTTCTCAGTCATCCAGGTCATGGTAAAGAAAAGCGACTTGACTTCTTTAAGTTTCTTGAAGAGGTGAAAGGTTATTGTAGGACCTAGTATCCTTACTACATCAACAATAATAATAAGCAAGACATTGTTAATTATGTTTTGCTTTTTGATTTCAAAACTGAGCTACATGTGTATTTCTGTGTCTGAATGAGCGACCACTTGCTCAACAGCTTTGTCAAGTGTGGTATGCAAAGGCTGATGGCCTCAGAGCCTTTTTTTTTAACCAACAGTATGTCTGCACATGTTTGGACATGGACACATGCATGCAAAGGCCCTGTTGCCCACAATAGTAGAGATAAAGAAAGCCAAGAGGATCTGAAGAAAGAAAGAGGGTCTAATCAACTGTCTTTTAAAATGGCTGGATGAGGATGGCCCTCTCCATAAATCTGAGTTTTATGGTTACTACAGTGTTCCTAACCTCCTGGGGTTCTTCCTTTGCCAGCACAGCATTACAAGATCCCAAAGTAACCTCCTCCTCAGAGGCAGAATCTCACAGTTTGAAAAAAAATAACATCAAAATCAACCGCCATGGCCTGTGCTTCATCAAGCGTGTCATTCCTGCCTGCCTGAGCAGAGCATACAACATGTGTTTCTAAACTTTTTCAGTATTCGTCAGTGACTGTTGCATAAATTTAACATTGCAACAGTGTGACCCATAATTATCTTTCCTTGTAACAAACCTTTAGTGAGAAGCCTTTTTCTTGTTTTCCAGCTACAGCCATTAGACCACTAACTAATAACACTACCTTTGGATGACTGGTAACAAACTGCACTGAATACTTCCTGTCTGTAGCCTGAAGGCCACCAAGCCTTTCTAATCCTCCTTTAATGTGGGGAAACTATAAACCTTATCTTTTCAACGGTCCCTTGTAAAAACCAAAAAGAAAGGAAAAAAAGGAAAATCAAGAAGACTTCCTTTCGATTTTGTTGTGTGTTGTTAGATGTCCTCAGGGAACAGTGACAAGAGGGGAGTCCATGATGCTGTGGAAGATGGAGTACTGATAATACATCATGTTTTACTCAGTACACATTGTGCCACTCATCCATAAGATTGGGGTCTATCGTTGAGCCCCATCACTGAGGCCTCTGCTTCAAAGCTACAGGCAAGGAAAATTACAACTGCTGCACTTTTTACACTTGTGCCACATCCATTCAATGTATGAAACAGCAGCATTTTCTCTTCATTTGTTAAGGACATTTAGGCTGAAAACAACCCTGCATTAAAATATTTATCCCCGTGTTAGGACGACTACATAAAAGACTGACATCTCATCAGCTGTCATTCAAAACAAGCTCTCTTTTTACTTGCTTTCACAGAACGAAGGGTAGTTTAGTGCGGCACTTGCTCAAGTTAAGCATTTACTTCCTGCCTCACTATGAAAGATATATTGATTCCAAGATTTCCAGACCATAGTCAGTGTAAAAGATGGATATAGCTTTTGTGTCTTTAATACATACTTTTTACAAAAACCTTATCCTGATTTATCTCTAACCTGGTTACGTACTTATTTTCTATGTTTAGCACTTTGCACCATAAAATGCTAAACATAATGAATGATTATTGTAGCAAACACTGTACAAATCCACACAAAACCTTTGCTTACCGAAATATCATTACAAGTCTTCTCATACAAGAGACAACGGCGATCAGGAGAGAGGCCAAAGGTATACATCTCCTTGTCTTCGCTTCTTCCTCCTCCACTTTTTGTTAGGGCTTGAAGAAGATCCTCAACATATCTCTCTCTTGGGACTCCTATGTCATTGGCTTCCCTTGTCATATCATCCTCTGAAACTGACAAAAAAAAAAAGCATTGCTCAAACATCTTATTGTCTTTTAAAAGGCATTTTTCTCATTTTTAAAAATTATTTTCAAAGCTGTACACCTGACAGAAAGTGGACAGAGGGGAAGGAGCAGATTACAGAACAAGAAGTGTAAACATTTATTATGTAGTAACCCATGAATGCACGTGAAAGCGGATTTGAAAGGAAGAATGCAGAGAAACCAAGGGGACTGTCATCAGCTGCTGCACAGCTGCTAACGTTGGCTTGAAAGTCCCAATTAGCACATGAAACAGAGAAATACTGACGAGCTAGAAGCCTGCACGTAGCTGTCACAAACTCATCTCCACCTGTCAACTCTCCAGATGGACAGCAATGGAAAACTAGAGGGCAGTTATGTTCCAGATGTCCTTCCAGAGTATGGGCATTCATGTACAGACACACACACAGGCACACACAGACACTCACTAGTGGCTTACTATATACAAAGACAAGCCTTGTAGATTTTAATCTGCTTTATACACCTGTAAGCTGCAGTGTAGGAGTGAAGAAGGATGATGAAACGAGGTCACGTCTGTCCCTCTTGTTAAAAGACCAACAGTTATAACACTATGATAATATGATAAGGGGGTCGGCCAGGTGCCTAGACAGCTTGGATGAATGGTTGCCTGATGAATAGCAGCCCTGCTAACCACTCAGACTAGGTAATTAGAAAAAAATGGAAGTCTTTCTATTAAACATAAGCCTAAATTTAAGGTAATTTCCATCTATTCTAAACTATTCTTCTTACATCTCAAATATTTACCTTCTCCAATCCATGCTGAGCTGCCATTAGTAAGAGCTAATGTGAAACCAGCACCCAGGTCTATGGCCCAGTCCACTCGCAGGAAGTACGGAGTATCTGGATCATCACTTAGTCTAATCTGACGAACTGTACCGCTCATGTTTCTCACATATCCGAGACCTGCAGAAATTCACAGAAATTCAGACACTCTAAACAAGAAGACATTAAAATGCAATTTTCCGGCAACAATTCCCATGAGTGTTTAGAACATTTTGCAGGTTTGTTAGTTTTGAGACCTCCTTTGAAGACAGTGCTCTAATCAATCTGTTTTCGTGGTTAGATTGTGTTAATCTTCCCTTTGTATCAATGTGGTTCATTGTTTCACTGCTTGGATTTGGTAATAAAAAAACGTTCCTGTGTATGTCTTCAGTGGGGGTCTCTCTGAGTCAGTGGGACCACACGGAGATTAACATGTTTTGGCAGGTTTTTGTGTCTGCCTTGAAACCACCAGAAAAGTAATTACATGCTGTTAAACATAAATAGAGGAATATTACTGAAACAAACCAGTTGTTTCATTGGTTTTATACAATTAGTACATTATCAAATGTATACAGTAGCGTGCAAATGCATCCAGCCAGCCCTCATTTTTTTACATTTTGCTTCCAAGGACCCAGACCCACATTTTCAAAGTGATCTTGAGCAGTAGTTCTCACAAGGAAGTTTTTTTTTTTGTTTTTTTTTTGACATTGGCTGCTTTTTCACTCATTTTCAGTCCAGTCTTTATATGCCAACTCTACACATAATATGCAAGTTAGGAAAGAAGTGATTTTAAATTGCATGTTTGGGCATTTTGGTACTCGTAATCTGTTGCAAAACTCATAATACATCCGCACTTATTTAGATGAATTTACAGAAAATGTCAGACGACAGGCATAAAATAATATTTTTATACCAGAAAAAAAAGTGATTCCCAAAGAGCTATATGGGGAAAAAAGCTGTATCTGAAAGTCATGTCCATAAAAAATAGGGGGAAAAAATCAGCAAAGAGATGCATCTGGCCCTTCACTTGATCCATCTACTATTGAAATGGCCTCAAGTCTCAAGGACAGCTTTCAAGAAGTTATACTTAAGGAAGGGAAACAGTGAGAAAATGCTGAGATATGCCAAATTACACAAGAACTGGACTGAAAATCAGTGGCAAAAGGTCTTATAAACAATGATGCAAAAATTTAAAAATTTTGGTCAAATCATCATCAGTTTGTACAAAAGAGGTCAGGAAAGAGGTACAGCAGTGTCTATATCCATCAGTAAATGGTAAATGGCCTGTATTTATATAGCGCTTTACTAGTCCCTAAGGACCCCAAAGCACTTTA